AGAAATTTACTCAAATTTGTCATATAATACAAATATAAGAAACTCGAGGGGAGGATTAATGGCAGGCTGTGACCCCCAACAACCCCAGCAAACATTGTCTTCACCTCGGTGTGCACAGCAATTTAGAGCTGAAACTCGAAGCACTGGGTGGACTTTGGCTGTGAGCAGCACATTCTGCAAGCTTTTGCCGTTATTTGTGGTTTTACTGTAAAGATTAACCAGGACAAAAGATTTGTCTGTTTCTTTCCCACACAACTCTATTAAGCCAACTTTTGGTGCTTGGCTGGTCTATAATTTTGGTAATGATTGAAGGATGGGTATTTGAGAAAGAGAGAATTTCAGTAATAAAAAAGAAAAAAAATTATGTGTAGGTGCAGTCCTCGAACACTTCCTTATCAATCTCCTACTCTTAGTGAAAATGAAATGAGTGCTAATGGTACATTCTGTACTTTGTACTGTATACTGTACTAGATATTACCATAAAATCTGTTAATTCATGCTTCATATTCTGGCAAAGACCAATGAATCTCCACATATGTTTGGGAAGATAGAGTTTGCACTTCCTCTTGGGTGTGGGCTATGATCACCAAGTCAAAATACTATTTCTATCTCATATTTCTACAGTTTGCCCAATGCCGCCGGGAAAATGCTGTACTCTCTCTCTCTCTCTCTCTCTCTCTCTCTCTCTCTTTTTTTTTTTTTTTTTTTTTTTTTTTTTTTTTTTTTTGTGTGAAATGTCTTCACTTCAATGGCTCTCCCAATGCTTAGCCACAAAGGAGTCAATTAGTAGACCTTGTGACCTTACCTGATTTCACTTTTCCTTGAATTGGCAGGAAAAACATTTATTTTACTAATGAATATGAATATCGATGGTGTTATTTTTGTTATAGATTATAATTACTATAATATTACAGACAATAGTAACAGCAAAATAAGATAACTTCAAAATTTTTGTAAATCAAGGAAAGGGGTAAACGGGCTAGACAGGCAGTACTTGTAATTGGTTCATTGGTGACTTAATACAAGTGTAATCATCTATGTGTAAAAACATTTAATAAAGTAAACTCACAGTGGGCATGGCATCTATGTACATGCTATGCCTGGTGGCATTGGCTTAGTAATAATAATAGTTGCAGATTGTGGTGTCCTCAGCATACTACAAATATGCAAAATAAATATTAAACTATTGTAAAGTGTAGATTCTTACCTTTTTATATTGTTAAACCACATTCTCTTTATTACACTGTACTTTCTTCACTTCAGCTTTTGCATAAGATAACAAGAATTGTAAAGGAAAAAATATTCATATCTATCATAAATGGCATTTATGAAGTGTCATACAGAAGAAATCTGAGAAAAATAAGCTGTTATCACATGCACCATCAAGTTGCCTAAGGATGTAATAGCAGTACATCCCTTAAAGCAGTGGTTCTTAACCCCTGGGTCGCAATATAGATTTAGGTCATCATGCCATTTCAGTGGGTCACCAAGGATAAATGCAAATTTTTTTCCCTTATTCACAATATTAATCCTGTGTCATTACCTGCACTGATGGTGCTAGAAATTTGTCACTCATTCAGGTGACTTTAGGCAATCGTCTAACCTTCTAAGGCTTAGCAAATCAGAGAGACATAAGGAGCTTATAGAGGTCCAAAATAACAGAACACTTCACAATTTGAAAAGGCAAAAGGACTCACAGAGCTGATTCTAGATCAAAATTTGCAAGGAAAAACCTAATCTAGAAGGTGAAGGCCTTTGCTACACCTTTCCCTTGTGAGGCAGGATTTTCAACCCTCACAGCCACAAAGACAATGTACAAAAACTGTTTGCAGTGAGAGGATGACCTAAGATACAGTCTGTCATAAAAAAAATTCCCAGATTTGAAGAGCTGATCAAAGCAATCCAGTGTCAAGGATCTCATTGACTTGAACACTATCTTATGTCAAGTAGGTTTGTATGAACAATTTTCCTTTTCAAAAATGATATATTATAGCCTAATAATACATTTGTACTTTATAATTTGTATTATGAAACTTTCAGAAACTTTCATTTTTCTTTTTGTGAATACCACTGTGTTGTCTTGTTTATCTTGGATCACTATTATAGTGATGTATTACTTGGATAGATAAACATTTTTGTATATTTTGTTTCTTTCAAACATCTATACAAACAAAAGTATTTTAGAATTTGAATTTTAAATAAACGTTTATAAAGGTATATGGGTCGCCATGATAAATCCGGACAGGATTTTGGGTTGCAGCCAAAAAAGGTGAAGAACTACTGCCTTAAAGGAAATGCCCTGGAAGGGGAAAGTTAAGTTGGGAAAATACAGGTAATACTATTACAAATCCTCATACTGATAAGATTAATCATTATAATAAGTCCACAAATAACCACCTGTCAATTGGTTCCTCTTTGGGAGTGGGAATATTAGCTCTAATTGCAATATAAATTACTACATCATACAATGCAGACCCAATTTTTAAAAATACCATTATGTACAATCGCTTTTAATCATACATTTATCATTTTATTTCCTGCCACGTCTGCATAAAGGGACAAAGACATATTTGAGATTTGGAGTCTTTAGATATGTTGCTTGAGATGCCAGTTACAGTAAATAATGGAAAGGATAGAAATTCCTACTTTCACCATGACTATATTTTTCCTTTTGTGTTCAGAACTTTTATTTTGAAACTTGAGTAACAATGTTATGAGACCAGGTAAAATGTTTATCAATATGTCTCCAAGCAATACAAAATTTGTTTTCAGACTTAAAAAATAGTTATGAACCAGTAACATGCACGTTGTTCTTGCTCATAAAGAAAAACAAAACAAGTCTTTCACCGAATATCATCATGACAAATCTTTGGTTAGGAAAGCGAGCGAGTTATCGTGACTGTAGTCCATTCATTGATTTCATGTTCAATCTTATACCGAAACCACAAAAAAATGGTAAGAGTTTATTTGTATTGATTTTGTCAGGTTATGTAGATCAATTAAGAAGTAAATAATTACAATTAATTAATGTAACTGTACAGATTAATATAATTTTCCTATATACAGAAGTATAAACACTAGTGAATGAGAGGTGTGACTGCTGAATGGAAGATTAAAAGGTGATTATCCTGCTATTGGTTGTAGCAGGCATCTTAGGCCTAACATGCAATAAGATATGGAGATTGCTGTTCACCACATACGGTTCTTTACCAAATTTAAAAATCAAACTTTCCTCTACAGCCCTCTAAACGGAAAATGGCCAACCGCACCATAACCAGCAAAAGGAAGTGGGCAGTTGATTTATCAGGTCGCAGAGGAGAACGGGGCAGTGACAACCTCCCTGCACCACCAGGATTTATGAGCTCCGTCAACCAGGTCCATGCAGAAGCAAACAGACAAGGCGACCCCAATCTGGTCATAAAGAAGGCATGGGACATAGCTCTTAGCCCTCTCAAATCGGTAAGGGTGATTTGTTTGTGTAAGAAAGGATTGGTGGGGTTAATTGCCTTATGAGGGAAATATTACCAGCATTTAGATATATAAATATATTTCTTGTTGATGTTGTTGTTATTGTTGCTAACATGTGCTTCTAAAGGTTTGAATAAGTAAAAAAAAAAATCACATCACAGGATTTTCAAAATTCAACATTTATTAATTTTTTGTCAGATTTTTACCATAGATTACAAAGCAGTATACTTAAAAATAGTAATTTCCACTTGCTCTCTACTTCAGGTCCCAATGAACCTCTTCCTCATGTTCATGGCTGGGAGCAGCATCAGTATTTTCCCCATCATGATGGTGGGCATGATGCTGCTAAGACCTATCAAAGCACTTTGGGCCACCAACACCACTTTCAAATCCATAGAGGGAACTCATGCAGCACTGCAGGTAATGAATGAAGGTGTTTTTATTATTATTATTATTGAAGTGCACCTCTACTGAAGGTGAGGTTCTAGATGAACTTAATAATAGTAGCATAGTCCAAAAGACTGTTTCTGCTCTTACCTTTATTCACTTGTCACAAGTCACAAAAAACAACACAAATGCACGAATACAATAAAGTAGTCAGGGCCCTGCAACACTAGTTCTCACTAAGGCAGGGGTTAGCAACCTGCGGCCCACAGGCCAGATTTGGCCTGCAGTGACCGAAATTATGGCCCATCACCCTGCTTGATTTTCATAGAACAATCAGCCCGCAATACCCCAACTGACAGAATGAGTAAGTCGGAGCCTCTCAACAATAGTTTTTTCTTTCTTCAATAAATTTCAATCTAATCACTGGTTTGCTTGCTTTTGTATACCTTTTTTTACACCTAGGTACTATTGGGTTCTGTTTGGGTACTCCTAGAAAATTTCTCTGACCCTTGTAACAAAAAAGTTGTTGACCCTTGCACTAAGGTATCTTATCACATGACCTCTGTTGCTCTGACCCTGCCTCACTGACTCTGAAAGTGAGCACCAGGTTTTTATACGTAATTGAGAGCTTCAGCTACTGCCCCTAGTTACCATAGTAACACCTGCAGGACTGACCTGCACTGACCTGCTGAAGTCCATGAGTGTCTATTCCTAATCCTAAACAAGATGTCAAGTGGAGATCAACCTGCAATGTGGTCCATGTGTCTTCATGAGACTCCTACATTCCTCCCCAGGCAGGAAACACTAAGGGCTAGAGAGACCTCCCTAAATAGGTGTGATGCCTCCCAGAAGGCATCACACATATCATACATGTATCTTCAGGAGACACCTAGTTGTTATAAATATTATTATTATTATTATTATTATTATTATTATTATTTATTTTTTATTTATTTGAATTTATTGATGGTATAGTTTGTAAATACTTCAGTGCTATTGTTTACCCGACAAATTTTAGAATAAAACAAAAAATACACATGAATGTATAAACGTCATTTAATAAGGCAAGATACACATATTACAAAAATTAGGTGTGAAAGAATAGAAACATCCCATTTTTGTTTTGTCTTCTGTCAAAAATATATAAAATTTCTGTTATCACTGCTTGTTAATGTGTGTGTGTGTGTGCATTTTTTTAAGATTGGAACTGGTAGTATACATATGAATGTCACAATGTTTTTTGGTGGGTTTCATTCTGCAAAGTTATTAATACTTAATGCTTAAGTCCCTAGTAATAATTTTTTTTCTTTCTTTTTCAGAAACTGATTTATCTTTTGGGGAACTTCGTAAATGTTGGCTTGGCGCTTTATAAATGCCATAGTATGGGTATACTTCCCACTCATGCCTCAGACTGGCTAGCATTCCAGGAACCGGCCATCCAGATGGAGTTTTCATATGGGGGTATGACACTCTAGTGCGAGCAAGTGCACAGTGGAGAGGTGTAGCCGCTGTGAAAACGATATCTTGTGTTTCATCATCTTCTGTATCCCTTTTATTTTCATTATTTTTCACAAAAATGTTTGGGGCGTATGTATTTGATCCCACCCCCCCTGTTGCATATGCTGTAATCAGAGCGACTCTTGAGCCCTCCGAGACAAGACAGAGATATCCAAGTGCGTGGTATGTGAGACTTTATTTTTTATTAATATTATTTGTTTTTTCTAATGCAGTTTTTTAAGGAACTTGAGATTTTTATTCTTTTCTCTTTTGTCATTGAGGATCTCATTCTTATCTGATGTATGGTTAATCTTTATTATGAAAAAGTAAAAAAAATATATAGATAATAATTTCAAATAATGCATAAGATTAGCATTATCACATGTATTTTATTCCATACCTCATTAATGTCACTGTTTGTGAACCAAAATGCAATTTCCACTTAAGTCTTGACTAACATATGATTTACAGAAGAGTATTTATGTATATACACACCACAAATTTATTTATGTGAACATTTTGATGTTAAGAGAAAAGGAAGGAAAGTAAACAAAAAAAAAATGTCTGTCGTATATGTATACTTTTTCCAATAAATAAAAACAGAAAGTATGTTGATTTATTTTTATGAATTATCCCCTTTAATTATTCAATACAAATACATTTTACTGTGAATGGGGTTATATGTGCATCTACACAAGGTTTCATCTTCCAAGACCATTTTCTTCTTGACCATTCATAAGATAATTTTAAATGACACATGGATTTCCAAAGGCTTTGTTTCTGTTACTTATAGTTTTGGAATTGTTTACCTTATGCATAGAGTCTCTTAGAAAAGTGATCACCTAAATTGATTGAAAATCACTATTCCAAACTTTTTATTCTATCATATAAACTTGTTACTATTATGTGCCAGCACATAATTTGAAGTGAGGTGTAAAATCATGTCTATGATTTTTCTCTTTCCATGTAATATATACTAAAAGTCCTCCTCGTCTATTTGACATATACAGCTTTCTCAGTAATGCAAGTATTTTTCCTTGAATTAAATGAATACCATAATGAACATCATGGAAAAATATGTTGTATAATTACACGTAAAAAATGTTTGTATATGCTATTGAAATGACAGAAAAGATTATACATTTTTCTCTCATTTTAATAAACTCAAAGCCACCAAGAAAATGCTCTGCTCATTTTCTATTTTTTTTTGTAAAATGTGTTTGCACATAGATGGCTCTGCAGGTGCTTAGCCACAAAGGAGTCAATTAGTAGACCTTGTGACCTTACCTGATTTCACCTTTCCTTGAATTGGTCGGAAAACTTTTTTTTTTTTCTTTCTTTCTTTCTTTCTTTCTTTTTTTTTTTTTTTTTTTTACTAATGCTATGAATATTGATGGTTATTTCTATTATAGACATTATAATAACTATAATGTTATAATAGACAATAATTACAGTAATATAAGGTAACAAACTATTTTCAAAAATCAAGGAAAAGGCAAACAAGTGAGACAGGCAGTACTTGAAATTGGCTAATTGGTGACTTAGAATAAGTGTAGCTACCTATGTGTAAAAGCAATTAATAGAGTAAACTCTCAATGGGCTTGGCATGTACATACATGCCATCCCATTGGATTTGGGTTATTGCACATCTATAAATATAACAAAAATTTTCAACTAATCCCCAAAACACCTCAAAAATATGTTTAATTCATTATCAAATCTTTTGACCAAAATAGTTATAAATCAAACAACTAACTCGCTTCAATCTTTATTAGCCTCTTTTTTAGAGCTTGGACACCTGAGACCCTTGCAACCTGTGTTTCGCGTCTGGCCACAAGGACACGGTGGCTTATGATTAGGGGTCCACTCTCCCAGACTCTCATTTGCATAGAAATCCATTGGATAGCGGTGTGTGTGCCATTCTGCATGTTTTAGCGCCACTGTTGCTTCATAGGGATTTAATAGGGGCCGGGGAAAGGATGCACCCCAATCAATGGACAGTCTTGGGCATGCCACCTGCACCCAGGCTTCTACGTCACTCATGGCTTCCAGCTTGGCAGGGAAGATTTCGGACAGTAGGACTATTACAAAGTCTTTCCCAGCAGATTCAAGCTGGTTCTGTAATGAAAGTGATTAAATATGTCATTTGAGAGAAATTATATACATCTGTGGGACTAAGCTAAATTGAAACTAAGTACAGTTAATATATATCATACCCATTGTGCTGATCTTTTAATTCATCTGTGAACCTAAATTATTTAACTCAGTGCTGCTGGGTAAATGAATTATCAACTGTTGTTTTCTAATGTGAAAAGTATTTACAAATAGATGGCTCCAAAATGCTTAACTGTCAAGGAGCCAATTATTAGGACTACATGATTTACCCTTTCCTTCAGTTTGTTTCCTTTCCCAATACTATTAATATTGATATTATTATTTGATATTATAATTATCATAATGGTACTATCAATGCTAAATGCTAAAAATAAACAACAATCTCCAAAAATCAAGGAAAATGATTAGCAGTTGAGATAGTAGAACTGGTAATGGACTCCTTAGTGATTAACCACTATGATCTATACGATGTTACCATCACGTCATTAAAACCTTGAGGGGCGGCTGATGTGAGCATGACGTCATGGTAAAATTTAGCCAAGGGCCAGGGTGAAAGATTCACTGAGTGCACAGGGCTCTTGGAGGATGATTAGACTTAGTGGGCATTTAGGAAGGGCTTTTACATTAATTCCATTGATTATTGAGTGTGGAATTAACCATCTGTGAGCCATGACTGGAGGAGTGTTGGCTCCAGGGAGGATGCTATTTCCATGCTCAGGATCTTATTCTTGCTGACAGTGACCAGAAGCATTGATTGTATTGCAGAAAATTTAATTTTAAGAAAAAAATGACACAAATAACAGTGTTACTTATTATTGTTATTACTGCACCAAGTTATGGACTACCTAGAGAGATGATATGGAGTCTATGTAAGGAAAAGAGTCTATCACTATCTAAATAAAGCAAACAAAATAACAAATACAGATACTGGAAAAAAAAACTAAAAATGTTTATGCAGAAAAAGAGAAAATAACACTACTAAAGGGGGGCCTGGGGTTTGGGGTCTTATCACTATACATGAATGTTCATGTGTGTGCATTGATATTATAATTATCATAATGGTACTATCAATGCTAAATGCTAAAAATAAACAACAATTTCCAAAAATCAAGGAAAATGATTAGCAGTTGAGATAGTAGAACTGGTCATGGACTCCTTAGTGATTAACCACTATGATCTATATGATGTTACCATCACGTCATGAAAAACTTGAGGGGCGGCTGATGTGAGCATGACGTCATGGTAAAATTTAGCCAAGGGCCAGGGTGAAAGACTCACTGAGTGCACAGGGCTCTTGGAGCATGATTCGACTTAGTGGGCATTTAGGAAGGGCTTTTACATTAATTCCATTGATTATTGAGTGTGGAATTAACCATCTGTGAGCCATGACTGGAGGAGTGTTGGCTCCAGGGAGGATGCTATTTCCATGCTCAGGATCTTATTCTTGCTGACAGTGACCAGAAGCATAGATTGTATTGCAGAAAATTTAATTTTAAGAAAAAAATGACACAAATAACAGTGTTACTTATTGTTGTTATTACTGCACCAAGTTTTGGACTACCTAGAGAGATGATATGGAGTCTATGTAAGGAAAAGAGTCAATCACTATCTAAAAAAAGCAAACAAAATAACAAATGCAGATACTGGAAAATGGCAAAAAAAAATAAAAATGTTTATGCAGAAAAAGAGAAAATAACACTACGAAAGGGGGGCCTGGAGTTTGGGGTCTTATCACTATACATGAATGTTCATGTGTGTGCAGCCTACTGTGGGTTATATGCAAAAAGCTGAAAATTGTCTCTTAACCCATTCATGCTCAATATTTAACCTTGCCATGGCCTCATAAAAGTAACCTTAAAGTCTCCTTTTTAGGCTCAATTCCTTGAGAGAAGAGAGAGAGAGAGTGTGTGTGAAAGCAGCCAAGAGCATAATGAGACAAGTTAATATATATTTTATGAATGGTTAACCCATTCACCCCACGTAGCAAGAATAGATGCCATACCCACTTTGATACATGTTTAATTATTGTATATACACATAGATGGCTCCACAAGTTCTTAATCACCAAATAGCCCAGTTTTCAAGAACTACCTATTTCACCTGTTTACCCTTTTTCTTCACTTCAGAAAAGGGTTTTTTGTATCATTTCATTGTCTTAAATATTCTAATAACAATTTAATAATCATAACATCAATAAAAATAATAACAGTATCGATAGCAGTGGTAATAATTTTATCGCCAATTCAATGAATGGGAAAATCAGGATCGGTAACTAGGGCCTACTGATAGACTCCTTGCTGGCTGAGCACATGTGGAGCCATCTGTATGTAACAAAATTCACCAAAAACTACAGGGGACAGAACATAAATCTGGGGCGAATGGGTTAAGAAAAACTAAATAGCTTTGACAATTCACAAATACCATTTCAAAGTTTCATTGTATACATTATTGTTGAAGGAGTAAAAACATTTCCATAAAAATCTTGATAAATAATTTTTAGAAATATCTAAAAATAAATATGTAAATAATAATGGAAGCTAATAATGTCAAGCTCCACAACAGACATCAATCACCTAACAAACAACACTAACCTTCAAATTCTCCATGACTTTTGTGTTTCCTTGCCTGCCCAGTGTACCAAGAATCAAACCCCATTTCTTGGCAGAACTTGCTTTGTCTATTATCTCTTTGCGAATCTTCTTCATCAACGGCTGGTCATAGTATTCACGGGATAGGACTTTTGAGTAGGGATTATACCTAGAAGGAAGAATTTTAAAAATAAAATACATTAGTAATGGTGTATGGAATGGTTATGTTAGGTTAAATGAGAAAAGAATAAGCAGAACTAAGTATTTCATATGAGTAGAACATGAGATGGTTTCTATGACTATTATCATATATGGTCCATAATAACATTCATTTATGAATGATATTATAGCATACTGCTATCTCTTGACATTCTAGAGATTTCTGAGAAAAAATCAGTTTTAAGCTTAAAATTACTTCAATGTTCATCAGTTTTGAACTTTTCTTACTCTTTAAAACTCACTCACTTTCACTCAATTACTTAATTACTTACTTAATTACTCATTCATTACTTCATTCTCTCCCTCACATATTGCAAAAAGTGGCTCTCCATACTATACATACAATGAAATTATGACATTTGTTAACTTTGTGTGTAAAGTAAAGAACCTTTTAGGTGAAATGGTCTTCAGAATAATGCAACTACAGTAGCCTAAAAGTACTAATCTCTGCTGGATACATTAGTGTTTTTTATCATTTGTTTATGATTGGTATATGAATGGCATACAACAAAAGCTATATGTAATATTTGTATTCTGTTGCATAATAAAACCTATACTGTACTTCTCAGGAAAATTTTATAATTAGAAGAAAAAAATATAGGGTACTCACAGGTAGGTTGGAACCTCAGGATTTGAGATCATTATAGATTCCAAGTGGAAACGACCATCACCCAAGCATACAATGGTGTGTCCCTCAGGAACAGGAGGTGATGTGCAACCAAGAACCTCGCCTGGAGACAAGGGCCTGCACTGGGGTACGCAAACAGTATAGCCACAACTTTTGAGATCTTGTGCCATCTTCTGCAGTGAACTTACAAACTGGATTATCGACACTAATGCCAAGGGGACTGTACTTGGGAATACAGATTTGATGGTGTCTATAAGATGCACTGTGTCAAACTGTATGTCTACAAACACATAGAGGCAAGGTATAGAACCTGTTTGATCTATGGGGACTAGACAGGAATGTCCATAATGGACCATGAAGTCTGCTCCAACCGCTCTGGCAGTAAAGTCATCAACACAACAGGCTCCATAGGTCACGTCCCCCATTATTGTGGTTTCTGCTCCAGTCCAGGTTTCAATTATGTCAGCAATGGATGTGGCAAACAGCAAAAGACCTTCTGGGAACTGCAAGGCAACATGCTTTGCATTGGCTTGCTTCACCCTCCATATTGTCTTTGGGATTTCGAAGTTGTAGTTTGAGGGAAGAACCTCTATAGCTTTCTGTAGTTTGGGGTCCTGCTCTATCTCTGCTGGAACTCCCTTGATCACATTGCGGGCTGGTCGGAACACCTTCCTCTCCTTCTTTGGGGCTACAACAATTTCCTTGGACTGTGTATCTTCCTCCATGATGGCAAAAGATCTGAAATGTAAAATACATATATATAAAAAAGCTAATCCAAATTTAGATGAAAGACTTCCAGTTTTAGATTCTTCAAAACTTAATTATTGTCAATAAACACCATCAGTGTATAAATATATGATATAAATACCATGAAACAAAAATTAATCCCTGTTTCTGAACTGACAATTTAGCCTTTTAATGATTATTGTACTTTAATGTTTCAAAGGCCCGTCCTAGCCCTTGATCAAAAAGGGAGTTTCGTGATGTTAAAGTGAAATCAATGTTTCTAAGAAATTTTACAAAGAAAACAAAAGAAAACTAACAAGAATTCAAATGCAATGCAAAACAAGATCATCACATAGCTTACAGAATAAGTATTAAGGTTTCTTGTTATTCATGTTGGCTTTTACATAATTTATTGTCACATACATGGTTATCTTGTAAGAACCATGCAAAGGTGAACTCCTAAGTTTGAAGTGACTGCAAAGCATCAAAGCTTTTTTATTACTATTAGCCCACTGGTCACAGATGGCATGATATACATGTTAAGTCACTGTAATTTTAGTTTATCAATTGTATTTTCACATAGTTGATTTCACAAGTGCTTAGTTATCAAGATTCAATAATTTGTTTTAATAATCTCTCCTGTTTACCCTTTTCCTTGATTTTTGGAGAGATTCTTAATGTTATTAGTATTTTAGCATCTGTATAATAAACTATAATAGAAATAATAATAAAAAGAGCATCATTTTCCATTCCTTGGATTTTCAAGGAATGGGAAAATCAAGTGTGGTCATAGTAATGTTGATTAATTGTGGCTGAACATTAAATCTATCCATTTTCAAACAAGCTCTAGGCACATCAGCACTGTATCAGTACTATATATATTTTTCTACACTGTACTAGAAATGTCTCCCTAACATTTCTCTATGAAATTATTTTTAATTTCATTACAGAAAGTAGTTTTCATTTATTTACATTATTCATTGCAACCATTATCACTAAGATTTAACTGTAAGTTCAAAACAATTAATTTCTCATAAAAGTTTCTATAAAGCTATAGAAAATTTAAAAGTTTGCTATAGAAAATTTAAAAGGTATTTTTTTTGTTTCACACAGCCATCCAACCTTACAGTCATTATTTCTTGTTTCAATTATTTACAATGGAATATGCATGAATCTAAATCACTATTACTCAACCAAGGCCTACAAACATTGATGTATGAAACAAAAAACCTTCCAAACCTGGGGCTTCACACTCAAACCCCATCCAATCACTGTATTTATTGTGATATACTTTCTTCCTTTCTAATGTTATCATTTGCCTGCACAGATTATTTCATGTATTGAAGAGAGTAGTTTTCTCCCTGTCTTTTATGACAATATCATTAGATTTTCCCTATCTTGGTGCAGTCATTACATCAATGTAAACCAAAGTATTATGGGTATAGTTTCAGTTTCACCTATATCTTGTAATGGACAGAAAGACAGAAATTAATACAATTTTCATTTTCATTTCTTTGCAAGTTGATATTAACCCATTGCCACCGGGGAAAATGAACAAAAAATGGGGAAAATGCTGTGCCTATTTTCTATACTTTTTTGTTAAATGTCTGCCCATAGATGGCTCTGTTAGCGCCGATTTGAAATGGCGGGAAAAAACGTATTTTTCACTAGTGCCATGAATATCGATGGTGTTATTTTTATCATAAACATTATAATTTTTATAATGTTTTTTAACATTAGTAACAGCAAAATAAGATAACGAAAAATATTTTGTAAATCAAAGAAAAGGGTGAACGGGCGAGACAGGCAGTACTCGTAACTGGCTCATTGGTGATTTAGTACAAGTGTAGCCATCTATGTGTGAAAACAAGTAATCTCACAGTGGCCATGGCATGGCATGCCCGGCGGGAATGGGTTAAGAAAGTTGTGTCTATGTAATACTTTAGTATACATTTACAGGAAAATCTAATGATAATATTATAAAGAATGGGAAAAACTATACTCACTGATACATGAAATAATCTATGCATGCAAAGTGCAAAGAGTCTGTGGTGATTGGGTGGAGGTCCGAGATCAGAGCCCCCAAAGGGAGAATACAGTGGTCATGTGGGGGTCCTGGGGCAAAGGAAGGCTCTTGGTTCATATGGTGTGTTTTTGGATTCCCAGAAGTGGCTGGAGTATGTGGGACTTAGTCCCAGAGAGGTGCAGTCACTTCATAAAGAATTACCAATGGCTATCTGTCATTAGGCTATATTGCTACATGGATTTTGGTGAATATTCAGATTACCTTAACATCCCAATAATATTAGTATTGTTGGATTCCTCTCACTCTCTACCACCCATAAGTATAGAAATTATGCCAAAGAACCCTCCAATACCCACAATTTTGGCCCAAATAGCAAGACAGAGCATGAAAGACACCAGGGATATTGCAAGGGAAAATAGGAATATTATTCAGAGAATTGCTAAATATGTAAGTATTGCAAGGGGGCTGTGCCCCCTGTAACACCCTATGGAGGAATGCTCCCCCAACCCCTGCCTTGGATAACAAAGAATCCACCACATATGTATGGTAGAATAGAGCACAGGAGAAACTGAGCATCAAGTGTCCCCACGTCTCTCTACCTAACAGTGAATATGTGGAGCATTAGACAATATAGTGACTTGATATTGTGGCATATTTAATGTGTATTCTTCATATTTTACCTCATAATTTCCCTGAAACCTTCCACTGGGGTTGAGAAGTTGAGAAAGAGAGAAATCCATCAATACCACTATCGTCATGATCAGATTCCGAGAGCAATGCAAAGAGATAGAGGAAAACAGTCCTTAACGTCTCATTTTCTATAGCTTCAAGTTATACATTTTCTATACACAATTTTATATAATACTCATGTTTTCTGTTGATAATAAGTTGCTTTTTCTGTTAGTTAATTATTTTCATCATTATGTTTTCATATTCCTCATTACCTTTCCCCTCATTTTTTATGTTACTAGATCTTTTTGGTTGCTTTCTCAAATGTATATGCATTTATATATGAGCCAATTATGAGTACCCCGCCTGTCTTGCCCAATTACCCTTTTCCTTGATTTACGAAAATATTTTACATCATCTTATATTTCTGTTACTAATGATTATAACATTATAGTAATTATAATGTTATAATAAAAATAATACCTCAGATATTCATAGCACTTTTTTATTCCTTTTCCCGGCAGCATTAGGTTAAGCTTTTGCCAGAGCAGGACCTTCAAATTTCTGTGGTCAGTGACATGGGGTATGTTTGATTTTATATTTAAATATCATTTTATCAGTATTGTGTCACTCTTATCGTCATAGATGATTTGGGTTACTTATAAATATTTTTTTAT